GTTAGGGTTTCACATTAAAACCGACCTGAGTACAGAAGCAGCCCCTTGCGGAGGAGGCGGCAGCCTGCCTGGGCTCCCCGTTCTGGGTGGTGGGGATACCAGCCCAGAAGATTAATGAGAGGGCAGGGGAGCGAGAAAAGGAAGGAAGAAAAATTGCTGCCCATTATACCTGTCCTTTGGCAAGGCCGGGTAATTAGCAAACCCTCAGCAGTAAAATATTTCGTTTTGGTGTAATTGCAAAGTAATTATGTGGTATGGGTTGTGTATCAATCGTGTTGATTAATAACACTCAGGTAGTAATTAAACATCTGCTTCATAATCGTGTGCAGGCTGAAGCTCAACATACATGCACTCATGCACGCATGCAAAGCTCCTTGGTCACCATGGAGCAAGAGAGAGAGAGAGAGAGAGCGCCTGGGTGAGTTAAGACCCCTCTCTTCCCTATCAGACCTTGAGGTCTTTCTGTCCCCATCCTCCCCTGGGATACAGGGAGGAACTGAGCTGGCCCCGGGGCTGTGCCACCCTGAAGCCCCTCTCAGAACAGAACCTTCCCTTCCTCCTGTGTTTCTCTTTCCCAGCTGAGCTGCCTGGCCCAGTGGTGGGCAGAGGGTTCAAGGGTGCCATACAGGACCGCGTGCTGGAGTGTCTTAGAACTCACTGTGTAATAATCCGTCTTAGACCGTCAGCTTCTAGGCTCCTTTCCTGGGCAGGTTACTTTTCCCAGCAGCCAGCTGCCCTGAGGCTCACCTACTACCCCCACATACCCTTTAGGCCTGGATGGAAGGATCTGATCCCAGAGGCTCCAGAGACCAGAGCAGGACTCGGGGAGGGAGCAGGAGCCCTGTTCTGGCTTGGATCCCACCCACTGGCTCACGTTGGTCAAGCTGCTCTCCTCTTTCCGTCAGGTTCCAGGTCCATCCAACAAAGAAAACTGAGCTCAGCGGCCTCCAAGGGCCTTTCCAGATCTGCGATATGCAGATCCTACTTTGGTTTGTACTAATTAGGAATCGGAGACGATTTAAATTCAATACATCCGGTCCTTAGTGAGTAAACAATCAGAAATAATTCCTTCCTTTATGACTTCTCAAAGACTCACTCATGAGCAATGAGAACCCAAGCTAAAATCAATAGCTTTTATTTCTCAGACAGAGAAACGGCAGAATCCCTGAGCTGTTGGGCATTGCAATTCATTCTTGTATTTTAAATTTTTATGTTTATGTTTATGGACTGCCATTAGGTAATACCGATCTATCCCGAAGGTTGACTTTTTTCATTAACTTAACTCATTTTACTTATTAGTTCACATTTATAGCTTGGGTTTAATAAGCGCATAGTGCAAAAGTCATAAAACAGCCCTTTTTAAAAGCAATATTTTAAGATCGAGTCTCTTCTCTGAGTCATCCAGTTTTATTTGCTCATAACTTGTTTCTCCTGTGATTTGAGGCCCAGCGGTGCCCATCCCAGCCAGTCATTTGCCTTGAGCTGCAGCACCTCATCTGCAACAGGGAAGGGCACTGCTGATTAATAAAAGCGATAAATGCTTACATGTTAGAAAGTAAGCATCCAACAATCACTCACTGTGTTTCAAGTGCTTCTCATATATCATACTAGAGGCCCAGTGCACAAAATTTGTGCATAGGAGGGGGGTCCCCTCAGCTCAGCCCGCACCCTCTCACAATCCAGGATGGCTGGCTCCTAACCGCTTGCCTGCCTGCCTGCCTGATCACCCCTAACCACTCTGCCTGCCTGCCTGATCTCCCCTAACTGCCTCTGCCTCAGCCCCCACACCTGGGACCCAGGCTTTCGTCCTCCAGCCGGCCACAGGCAACCAGGAACAGAACTTTCCTCCCTCTGGCCGCAGGCACCCGAGACCCTGGGTGGCTTCGCCTGGGCCTCAGCTTTGTTAGGAAGGACATCCGGAATGACATCCAGAAGACATCTGGTCTATCTGTCTAATTAGCATATTACCCTTTTATTAGTATAGATTGTCTGGTTGAATCCTACCTCCCTATGAAATGGCTTTATTATTATTTTTTCACTTTATAGAGAAGGAAACTGAGGCCAAAAGAGGTTAAATGACCTGCCCGAGGCCACACAGTTGATGACAGTGGTAGAGCTGGGGTGCAAACCCAACATGTCTAAGTCCAGTCACCATCTTTCCCCCGATACCTGTCTCCCTCTCCCACCCACCCTTTCATCATCTCTTTACTCTCCACCTCTACCACCAGGCCCTTCCCATCCTCCTTTCATTCTCTCTCTGTTTCCACTTGCTTGGGCTCCCTCCTACTTTTTATCTACCTGGAGAATACCTCTGCTATATGACCTTCAGTGGCTCCCCATTGCCTATGGATGAAGTTTCTCATCCTTAGCCTAGCATCATTCAAGGACCTTACCCCTCCAGCCCCTGCCTTCCCTTCCTGTCTCATTTCCTAGACAGTCTTGGCTCATGATCCTGGATACCCACCCCACACGTGGGTACCTCCATGCTTTTGCTCACCCTGGTCCCTTTGCCCGTGGTGTCTTCCTCTCCTCTCCGTATGTTCAAATCTGCCCCCTCTTTCAGAAAGCCTTCCCGGGGCTCAAAAAAGAAGGGGCCCCTCCCTTCTCTGAACTCAGAGTGAAGAGCCCTCCTCAGCCTCCTTGAACTATGAAAACCAGGGCACTTAACCTTCCCTTCTCCCTAACAGTGAGCTCCTTTGGAGGTGGAATTTGTGCCTCACTCATCCCTGGCACCTTCTGAGTACTGGATATACAGCAAGTGTTTAATTAATGCTCACCAACATGAGTGAATGCTCATGTTGCTTGTGATCTTCAGGAAAATGCCTGTGTCTTCTCTGTGGCATTCAGGGCCAGCCCAGTGCAAGGGAGCACTGTCCACATTTTACCAACGTTCAGTGTAAAGCGCTGATCACAGGACTTTTCCATCTCATTTCCTGCTCTGCCCAAGGCCCCAATCTGGGTATCTCTGTGCCTTTGCTCACCCTGGCCCCCCTGCCCATAGCACCCTCTCTCCTCTCCAGATACACATGTCTGCCCTCTACTCCAGGAAGCCCTCTTGTGCCTGCTGGGGTCATTAGGACATTGGGGGAGGAGGGGCCTTACTTTGGTATCTCTGCCTGTGAGTTATTAGAGCCCTGGCTTTAGACCTGGCCCCGAGAGACTGCAGGGACTGGTGGCGGGTCCCACACCCGCTCTCACAGGGAGAAGCCAGGGCCCCACGGAGGAGAAGGTGTGCCTGAGTGCTCACATCTGGGAGGGGACCCCAGGACTGCTGCCTGCAGGTCCATGGGGCCTCCTGCTGTCACCTCCTGGGAATGAAAGCCCTCCCCCCCAACTCCCCCGGCCATGGGTCTGTTAATGGGGTGGGTGGTCTGCTTCTCCTAATAGGTGTGAGGGAGCATGGGCTGGGGTGTAAACGAAAGATGGAGGCTGGAGGTCACCCCAGAAGAGCCACTTCATCAAGGGTATCGGGAGGAGGCCCAGAGAGGCTGATACACACACGCCATCCGATGGGGCTGGAGCTGGGACCACGGGTGGCCGCAGTGAGCCCGTGAGAGCGGCACAGCCGCATAGCACGCTGCTAAGACCGTCTCCGCCGTCACCTCTTTCCTGCAGCCATTCCTTTCTTCCTCTATCAGACCCTCTTGGAAAAAGCGGAGAATGCCACCTCTCCTGGGGATTTGTCCCACCCCACCCACCCCGCCCCTCTCCAGTTCTCACGCGCTGGCTGCCGTCTGGTGTGACATTAGCGTTCACCAGCTTGCAGAGCGCTAATGACATTTGCATTTTGCTGGCTGGTGAAATGTGGGCCGGGGCTTGGGGTCCCGTGGGCAGGTGGGGAGTTTGCAGCCCAGAGGGAGAAGCAGATAGGCTGGGTGCGGGCCCGCACTTGTCCCTGGGAGGCAGGGAAGAGGGGTCGGGTGGATCAGAGGGAACAAATAACTGGTGGAATGGAGAGGGTTTTGTCTAAAGATGTGCCAAGAACAAAAAGCAACTCCCAGTCCAGTGCTCCACCGCCCCCGCAGGCACTCACTGTGTTCTCTCCTGTGTTGCCTCCCTAACATTTATTGAGCGCTTGCTGTATGCCAAATGCTCTACTGAAGGCTTTACAGACTCATGGAAGCCATTTTTACACCCTGCAGTTCTTGAAGATAATGCTGCCATTCTCCCTGAAGACTCACGCCCTGAGCTGCCCCAGGCCCCACTTCTGGAGAGAGGTTGCCCCAGCATGGGGCGAGATCCACCTGCCTCTGAAGCTTATGCTACTGTGGGCATTGCCTCCCATGTCCCGGCTTAAGCACAGCCAGGAAACCCTCCTCGGCCCTGGCCTTTCCCAGCATGCACCTGACAGGCAGGCAGCAGACCCTGGCTGTGCACCCTGGGCTGCTCCAGGGACTGCAAGGCTGACAACTGCAAAGAAGGGAGCATCCCTGGAGAGAGCACCCAGCCACGAAACCGGAGAGACCCCAGGTTTAGGCCTCACTCTGCCACCAACTTGCTGTGTGACTTTGGACAAGTCACTGGCCCTCTCTGGGTGTCATTTTCCTTGTTGGTAAAACGATGCCGTTGGGCTGGCTCAATGGAGCATGCCAGGAATGCATTTGCACATGAGCAAGGATCTTTCCTCCAATGCACTTGAACTCTCCCGCAGTTCCCACCCCCTCGCCTGGACGTATAAAATTATGTTTTACATTCAAGCAAGCCATGAACATTTGTCGAGCATCCCCACTCTGCAAAGTGCACTGTGCTAGACGCAGCGAGATGCTTACGTATTTTTTTTCGGGCGTACACACAGGCATATGCATATCTTTGCATCTTAGAATTGTCTGGCTTCCCAGTCCTGATGAGTAACCTCAGACTCCTGCAGTCTTTGCCTCATCACACAGCCTCCTCGGGGCCCAGAGAGCATTTCAAACAAAAACAAGAGACCTCAGGCAGCGTGAGCCAGTAAGCTCTCCCCCAACGAGGCAGTCACGGCCGGCTCTGTTTGTCTCTGACAGGTGGGCATCTCCTGGACAGCACGGAGCTTGCAGTGGCAAGAGCTTCTGGCACTGTCGTCAAAGCGACGTGAACCCTTTGAACTTGGCTTCTAGAAACGTGGACACAAGCCTTTTCCAGACGCCAGCCACTGAGGTAAGGGAGTTCAGGCTTGTTCCGCACGGGGCGTTATGCTGCTTTCGTTGTTGTCGTTGCTAGTGGTAACTGTCAGCAGGGCACCCTGTCATTCTTTGTCATAGGGCCCTGATTTAGTCCCTTCTTTAGCAGGAGTGGCTAAGGCTCCAAAGTCCAGCAGACCAGGGTTCAAATCCTGGAATCACCAGTGTTTAGCTGTGTGGCCTTGAGACCTTTCTGTGTCTCAACCCCCTCCTCAGTCAACCAAGGAAGCAGGAGCACCCACTTTCTGGGTTTGTGGTGAAGATAAAATAGGGTAACACGTGAAAAAGACTGAGAACAGGATGGGCACCCAGTAAGCTCAGGACCCAGTAAGTGTTAGCTGTTACTGGACTAGTCGTGTGCCTGCCCCGTCAGCTTGTCACTAGTTGATTCTCACATGGATGGAGTGGAGTCCACATTCGCACTGGAATGTAGACTCGGTGAGGACAGGGTCTTGTCTGTCGTAGGTGAATCCCCGGATCCCAGCAGAGCAAATTGGCTGTTGTTTGTTGACTGCAGGGATGCATGAAGATGCTTTATCTAGATTGTGCACAATCCTCGAAGGTCCTTGCATTAGTTGGGATATGGGTTTGGTTGTGTGTGACAAAACCCCAAAGTCATGGCTCCTTAAACAAAAGAGAGGATGCTTTTTCCTAAGTACCACTGAGCTAAGGAGTTTCTTCTCCACAAAAGCGTGAGAGGCTGAGTTTCCTTCTGTCCTGTGACTCCTCCATCACTGTCTCTACATGATCCGCGATGGCCCCATGGTGGTGTCTATCTCCATTCTGCTACCCATCCTTTAAGGGGGTGCACATGTCACTTGCATTCGTGTCCCAGTGGCCAGAATGTAGATATATGACACAACTGGCCGCAGGGGAGACTGGACGTTAGAGTCTTTATTTTGGGTGGTCATCTGCCCAAGAACAATCTTCAGAAAAAGGAGGAAGGAATGTGGGCAGACAAAACAGCGGATGCTCCCTAGCGGGCAGGGGGCGGGGATAGGGAGCGGGCAGGAGGGCTGATTTGTCCCAAGCAGGTCCTGCCTGTGGCCTCTCACAGGTAGACCTCGGTTTCGTGGATCTGGTATCTGGAAGCCTGATTTACACACACACACACACACACACACACACACACACATACACAGAATCACACACATACACATACGCAGAATCACACACATTTACATACACACAAACACACACATTTATATACACACACATACACAAAAACACATGTG